GTGGTACCTAGAATAGTAGATCGGTTAACATCAGAGGCCTTAAATGAAGATGTTGAATGTAAAGTCTACTACTATTATTCACCCTTTTAGCTGCAATATCCATGTATTATCATTCTTTTTTTTTTTTAAAAAAAAAAAAATCATGCCAGAGAACGAGATATAACTTAGAAGTAACCAAATAACTGTACGATTGTCACCTATTAGAAAAGGTAACGAAATGACTGTATAGAAGCACATGGAAGCAGCTTTTAAGAAAACACTTAAAATCCTCTCTAGTTTTCTATGATTTTTATTGATGGTACTGATATATTGCCTCTTTTCGTCTTCTTTTCGTCTTCTTGAGCCGAGTTTCTTTCGGAAACAGCCTCTCTATCCCTCGGGGTAGGGGTAAGGTCTGCGTACACACTACCCTCCCTAGACCCCAGTACTGGGATTTCACTAGGTCGTTGTTGTTGTTAAAATCCTCTCTAGTCAAATTGTCAAATGCTTTTTGGATTGACCTACAGAGTTGGTTTATGCCCGTAAAAGTCATGGCTCTTGCATGTCTTTTGACAAAAGATCAGTGAATATCAAAGTTTTCTTGCATCAGGAAAACCATGACCCATCCAAAGTTTGAATTGTGAAGCCAACCTATTTTTTTCCTTTTTTTGTGGGATAATTATGATGCCACAATGGGGATGTAAGAAGTAACCTTTTTTCCTTCTTGATGTTCGACCTCCAGACCGCACTTGTGGGATTATACTGGGTATGTTATTGTTGTTGATGTTTGACCTCTTGAGCATTGCTTGAATGCAACCTTTTGAATCCTCCTCAAGATTAATGTATAGGCTGTGGGTGAATTCTTGTAACCTGAATTCCTACCCACCAGAAAAATAGTTGCTCTGCTGTCATCTTAATCTCAAAGTTTTTGTCCATGCACTTCAATTTGTCCATGGCATTATTTTGTTTGAATTTTGCTGCTATTAGAGCAGACTAGAGGGAAATTATGAATCGATTCATTCTCTAAGATTCAGTGGGTCGACAGAAATTTCTTACACATGATGTTTGTTAACTTCTACATATCATACTTAGCGTCAGTACAAGCAGAGCTTCTTTATTAAATAGAAAATTTGTTTCATACGGTTGATGAAGTTGCTGATGCTTCTTTTTGTTTTTGAAGTTCATGCACGGCGTCTTCAAGCTTTAAAGGCTCTTACATATGCACCTTCTAGCAGCTCTGAGATTTCGCAGAAGTTATACGAAATTGTTTTTGGCATTCTAGATAAGGTTTGTCCACACATATATCTTACCGTCCACATATTCTTACACTTGCGTTAAAAAATCCATCCCTTTGTACAGATAGCTTCTCTTTACATACTATATCATATGACTTTGCATTTTCATTATTAATGTGGTTGAGTTGTTGTGGTACATATGAAGCATATGCTTTCTCTCTCCACTTTGTTCTGGTCCTCTTTTCCTGATAAGTAAAGCCAATTTATTTTCCCTGTTATGATGTTATCTCTTTCCTTCCTATAAAGGAGTAGTAGGAGGGATGGGTCACTTTCCTGCTGGAAGTAAAGATGTTTTTCATTTTTAATTAAACGCATCAAAATCAGATTATAAGGTATTTAGCTGTATTTACCCTAAGGGATAAAGGCATGCTGCAAAATGCAATTTAAAGTAATAAACATTTTATGCAGGAGGTGTCTACATACTAATTACTAACCTTAAAAATTGATTTATCAAAAAAAATACTACTCCGTATTACTTAAAAGAAAGCAAAGGACAGAGTCGGTCCAAAGAAATTATTGAGAACGTTCAATTTTTATCAAGAGAGGTTAATCATTACACAGTACCTTATCAAAAATATAAAAAAAGAATAATCTTTACACATCGGTGTTTTGATTCATCAAATGTAAAATTCGTATAAATCACTGATTATAATTCTTTAAATGGGCATATTATTACTTTCTCCAACCTATTTTATATGATGGCATTTAATTGGATATAGAGTTTAAGATGTTAATTTGACTCATATATTATATTAGTGGCAACATAATAATATTTTAAAATAAGTTCTGAAAAACTCTTTTACTAGGGATAACATCACCTCAATGATCAAAATATTTAAAGTTCTATGAATTTTAAATTCTTGAAAGTGGTAAAAGTCATGTGAAAATGCGATGGTGTCAAATTTTGAGACATCCAAAATGAAAAAATGTCTTATAAATCGGGATGAGTGGAGTAGTTGTTGGAGCTTCTATTATGTTTTGAAGTTCACATGTGAATTCTTATTGTAGTATTCGGGGAACCGGTGAAATTGGACATGTTAAGAGCAGGTCTTACCCAATTTTTGGTCCTAGTTTTGCCAGGAAAATTCAGATTCCTCATGGTGAAGCTAATCCTATTTTTTTTGCATAAATTTCCTGCTTTTAAAAATTTTGCTTCCTCTTTTGGCAAATTTTCTTGACCTGAAATTTTTAAATTTCCTGCCCTCAATATTCTTATCTTCTTTGGTGACACTAATTCGCCATCTGTCAACTGAAGTGCTTGGGAATCCTTACGCTGTTTAATTCCTAAATTCCTAATGCTTTTGACTGTATGAGTATGATTTACTTGTTGGTGAAGTATGAACTCATGTGGTTTATCCCAAAAAAATTAAGAAAAGTTGATAATGATACTTGTGGCCAAAGCGAATGAAAGTCCTTACAGAGAGGTAATAAAAAGCTAAGAGGCTTTGGAAGGTAGTTTGAAAAGGAACGACGCCATTGTCAACTACTTAGGTCCCTGCCAGTTACTTGTATGTTGTTTCTGCACCACTATCACTAACACATAAAATTAATCTTTTGCCAGATTGTCTTTCTTTCCAAGATGTAAAGTGTGCTTTATAGCATTTTGTGGTTGTGGCTTATTAAAATATTTCTATTTTTTGAATTTGTTACCTTTGTCAAAAAAGAACATTTCTGTTTTTGGTTTATGAGAACAAATAGTACATCTATACCACAGGTACTATGTTTGTTGATTCTAGTATGCTAGAAAAATCATAAATATGCTTTCTAGTAACTAAGAGTTTTTGCCTCAAATAAACACAACTACTACTCCCTCCATTCTAGTTTATGTGAAATAGTTTGAATCTGACGGGGTTTAAGTAAAAAATGAAAACTTTTGAAATTTGTGATTTTAAATATGCCCATAACATTAGTGGGGCTATAAAACATTTGAAACTTGTACCCTTGAACATGCATAACATTTGTGTGGCTATAAAAGCTTCTTCTAGATGAGAAGGGTAAAGTCAATTGTTACCAAATATAGAAATACGTCGTTCTTTTTTGGAACGGACTATTAAGGAAATAGTGTCACATAAATTTTGTTAGATAAACAACTGTAAACGTTTTTCTTGAGTAGCTTTCTTTTTGGATAAGGTTCTTTAATGACTTTATCTACTTCAATCATTGAAAAAGTTTGGCTCAAGTTGTTTATTGATGACTTCCAATTGTTAGGTTGCTGATACACCACAAAAACGCAAGAAGGGCATCCTTGGGACGAAAGGAGGTGATAAGGAGGTACATTCATCAAATCACAGTAATAAATCAAAAATTTTGTTTGCAAATTATTTTATTCTTTCCTTGGGTATAATTTCTTATATTACAAACTAGCGAGGAAAGGAGATTTTTCCAACAAACAGGAACACAAAATTTCTTCTCTATGACCTGAAATCTTTGGGCCAATGTACATGTGAATGGATTTTTGTAGTTTGAAGATGTGTCCTCTCTCTCTTAGATCTAAGTTAACTGAGTGCAAATTTTAGTTGATAAATTATTTTTACAGAATCTCAAAGAAGAGTTGGTAGTATGTCTTTTACAATCTTTTTGTTAGACTTGGAACTCTAAAATACTAATAATTGCAAATACATCTTTACTTAGATGGCATATGCTAGGATAGAATAATATTTACGTATCTAGACCAAGGGATGTATCTTGTATGAAATGGTAAAGAAAATAATAATTCTAAACCCCAAAAAAAAAAAAAAGAAAAAAGAAAGAAAAAGAAGAACAAATCTACATTCCTTTTTTCTATCCACTCTATCACTAATGAGTCGGTAATGTTCTTAATCATGATTAGACTCTCTTAAGCTTCTTCTGGAGTCGATGACATTGAGACAAGAGGATCCTCTATCAACCATGCAATTCATTATAGTTACCGAGGAACTCAACAAATACAATGGATAGAGCAGTGACATTAGTGTATTTGAAGGGATTCACAGCTAGGAGAGGAAAGATCAATAGCTTATAGTTTATTTCATTTGCTATTGGTGGACGAATGATACTTTGATGCTGTATGATTCTGAGATGGCCCAACTCAATAGTTTGAAGAACTTTTTGATGTGGTTTGAAGTGGCTTCCAACAGATTAAGGGCAAACTCTAAAGAACATCGAGATCCTGATATGAGAATTGATGAGTAAAAATGGATAGAGCTGTGGCAGGAGGATCTTGAGGGGCTTTAAATGCACGTGAAGGGGCTATTTAAGACCGAACAAAATTAAATAAAAATGCACGATCTCTAACACTTTAAACTTTAGGATGTCGGCTACAGTTAAGAATGTAACGTTCACTAAGTTTTCTGCAGGAGGAAAAGAAGCTGTAATGCATGGGATTTAGGTCCTTTGGCTATTACACAGATACATTGGAGGGAAGGAAACAAGAGAACTTTTTTAGCACCCAATGGTGTGCCCTAGTGGTTAATGAAGTGAGAGGAGAACCATGAGGTCTCAGGTTCAAATCCCAGCAAAGCCAAAAAGCACCAAGTGATTTATTGCATCTTCCTTCGCCTTGTTGGGCAGAGTTACTCAATACCTGTGTCGGTGGGAGCAGGTGCGCGGTGAAATAGTCAGTACGCCAAGCGGCCCAAACACCATCGTCAAAAAAATAAAAATAAAAAAAAGAACAAGAGAATATATGAAGGTGTGAAAAATGATTTGCTATAATGAGTGCCCATCTTTTGTTTTTAGTTAATTTTGGGTGCACCTATGAGATTATTATTGTAGAGAATCATATTCTTTTGTAGGTTTTTACTCTTTATAGTTCTATCCACTATGACAATACTTATTAGAATAAAAATAATCTTAATGTTTAGACAAGACGGTTCACATAGTTCAACTGCATGAAGTTCTATACACTGATGAAGTGGTGATACGTAACAGTTATCACGAGCCAATTTCGGGTATATAATGGTTCCTTGAAATTCTGAAATAACATCCGTGTTTTATCTTGGAGATCCATCTGTTGTATAATAATTACCTTTTGCAATATGGTTTTCTACTGTTTACAGACTTGTTCTAGACTGTTTCACTATCATCTAAATGTAGTTGCTGAATGAGTCGACTCATGGCGTTTTTGAGTAACTGAGCCTTGCTTTAAGTGGTTTTGATTTAAGTTGAAGTGCGAATGCAATTATTCTCTTTCTTTTTGTAGTTGGGTGGGGTAAGGGCTGTTGGACAAATAGATATCACACGGCTGGATGCTACAAGTTTTCACCAATCTCATGGTTCTGCTTGGAAGCTGTCGACTTACTGTTTCTCCCCTTCTTCATTTTTCAGTCTATTATTCGGGGTAATTTGCAATATGCTGCATTGAGTGCGTTGAGAAGACTTCCCTTGGATCCAGGAAATCCAGCTTTCCATCATCGTGCTGTGCAAGGGTTTGTTTGCTCCCTAGTGTTGATATTTTTCTAATCAATGGACAAAGATTTTGATTATTTTTTCTCATTTTGCTATTTAATTGTGGTATATCCAATTTCATTAGTGGTCTATTGTCGTAATCAGAGACACTAAATCTGCTGAAACAAAAAATTGTCTTATTCTTGGTTTACATGCGTCTAAACTCTGCTTAATTAACCAATGCTGGTATAACTACTAGTGTAACTTTTACCATATGAAGTATGGTCCAACCATGTTCTTCTGGCATATTATGGAGGATATGGTAAATTGATTGCCTAATAAATCCTGGAGATGTCTGCTACAAAGTGGTTTAACGTCAAGAGGTGAAAATCATGCCCCCGGTTTTCAAGTTTACCAAGAGCATTGTCTTCGGCCTAAGGGGCCTGGGCCATTAAATATGCTCTTGCCTTTCAGAAATTCAGCATGGCTTGATAAGCTATTACCTGATCTCTTCTATTTAATGAGCAGAAAAGTCATACAGTGTTGCATCTGCAACAGTGTTTCAAACTATTACTAGTCTACTAAAATAATTTAGTATTCTGTTTTGTTAAAAAATACATTTAAGTTTGTTTAAATTTTATTTGCATTGCCGAACAGCCAAATTTAAGGCATTTTATATGGTGATACAGTGTCTCATTTGCTGATCCAGTTGCTGTGCGGCATTCTTTAGAAATTCTCTCTGACTTAGCCACAAGTGATCCATATGGAGTTGCAATGGGATTAGGTAATATTCTCAATAAGGTGTTTAAGCTTTTGGCAATTGTTTCTTTTGCTTTAATAGTTTGAAGAACTTCAGTTTCTGTACTCCAATTTCTATTTTGTGTTAACTTACAATACTGTGCATTACGATGCTGATTCTTGTTTTATGTTAATGAACACTGGCAAATTTTTTCACCTAAATTGTAGCTCTGTAGGTGCGCGTGCAGGAGCATTTGCTGTCCTCCCAAAAGAAAAAAGTTACAAAAGAAAAGGTGGTTTAAAGAGCACTTTACCACACCATTTTTACCAAAAGCAGAATTATTTTCAGTCAAGTGTCTGAACTAAAAATATGGAGGATAGAGATAACTGGCAAAGGGTAAAAACCTGTTGAATGGAAAAAGCCTTGAAGTATCATAGATGCATTGAAGAGAGATCCTTTATTTAGCAGTTCCCAAAAGACTGAAAAGGATGTTTCATTTCGTGTCCTGTTTCTGTTCTTTTCCTTGCCTCATGTAATTGACTTAATTGTGATATCTACTCTATCGATTCCCTGAAGAACATTAATTCCCCTAGAGGCTTAGTAAGTCCAATCATTGAGGGTTAATGCTTTGCTTCAAGAATCTTCACAAGATAGAGACACTATAGCTCTTTCATTGTTTAATTTCTCAGGTTTCTATAGTCCATATTCTAAAGAAATAACAAAACAAGCGAAATCTGATTATAGCCAGTTGTTCGAGACTTATTGGAGGGAGCGCTTTGGAGTTCATTGTGTTTGAAGAAATAGTGCTATGGAGGGAGCGCTTTGGAGTTCATTGTGTTTGAAGAAATAGTGCTATCTGTTGATCAAGAACATAAAAGCCAACGAGGAGGGAAGTGGTGCTAAATAAATAGTGCAGTTGTGTTAAGTAAATAGGAACAGTTGGGCAGTGCAAAGGTTCCATAGTTTCGGTTTTTCTCCTTTGAAAAATTTGAATTCTATCGAGGTCCGCACATCCCTAAATATGAAAAAGAAATATATTTCTTGATAAATTGTTGAAGTGCTCTGTCGTGGAAAGATATAGAAACTTGAGAATCCTCACTTTAACAGTTAGAGGGAAGAGAAGGAACACCTTAAACAGTAGAATGAACAGTGTGTTTTGTAAACGAAGCACAGTTCAATTAGTAAAGAAGTGAAGAATAAGCTGAGGAAAGGACCTACAAGTGCCGAAGTTCTGGACTTCTGGGATATTCTTCAAACTATCATGAGTTTATAGCGATCAGGGTGTGGACTCTTTAAGGAGGACTTCATTTCCTATCTGCATTCGTATTCCTTTTAGATAAATAACTCTGTATTTGTTTTCTTGTGGGTTTTCACTTGACAAGTAGCAATGTCTTAATGTTTGTTACTGAGATCATGATGCTGTGGTGTCTTATGCTAAGACCTACAGAAAGAATACTTTTAGTGATTTTCATGAAATCATTGTGTAGAATTTCTTTGTTGATGTATTTGATTGATGGTCTAGAGTTGGTTTTTGACTATAGCTTTTTTGTCTTTTTGCAGGGAAACTTGTGCAGCCTGGTGGTAAGTTAATATTAACTCTCTGAGTTCCCAGTCATTTATTAGCCACTAATACTATCAGAATTTGTTTGAATCAGGGGCTCTACAGGATGTACTCCATATGCATGATGTTCTTGCTAGAGTTGCACTTGCTAGGTTGTGCCACAGTATATCCAGAGCTCGGTCATTAGATGGTATGTCTATTTGAAATGTATTCTGAGCAAGCAAGTTCCTTTTCTGTTTGGAGACTGGGAGTAGATAAAATGGCTGATTGCTTGGCGAACTCCATATTGCATATGCAGAAAGGCCAGACATTAAGACTCAGTTCAATTCAGTGCTCTATCAGCTACTTCTTGATCCTAGTGAAAGAGTTTGTTTTGAGGCAATCCTTTGTGTGCTGGGTAAAGTTGATAATGCTGAGAGGTAGCTCCTTCTACAGAACTTTTCTTTTCCTAATGTTGTAGACTGCCTAATTTGTAAGATTGATGAATACTTGATCTTCTGTGGACTTCTGGACTCTGTAGGACTGAGGAACGAGCCGCTGGGTGGTATAGACTGACCAGAGAAATTCTTAAGCTTCCAGAAGCACCATCAGCTAAAGACTCAAATTCTGAATCAAAGGATGCAGCTCCGTCAAAGTCCTCCAAAGATAAGTCTTCAAAGACAAGGCGTCCTCAACCTTTGATCAAACTTGTGATGAGGAGGTTCTCAAGCTTGTTCTATTGCTCTCTGCCCCCTCCTAACCCATAGGTTCAACTTTTTCGTTCTGAATTGGTAAGATAACACCCTTCATTTTGGCAGATTGGAGAGTTCTTTTCGCAGTTTCTCTCGGCCTGTACTTCATGCAGCAGCACGGGTGGTGCAAGAAATGGGTAAAAGTCGTGCTGCAGCTTTTGCTTTGGGCTTACAAGATATTGACGAAGGAGCTTATGTTAACACCTTTCCTGAGAATAACGACTCATATGATCAAGATCATAATGAAACTTCTCACCCTGAAGGTAATGAAAATGAATATGCATTTTAGCCATAATTCGTGGTCTCTCCCTCTCCCCCCCCCCC